ACGGATCAATAGATCTGTCAGATTTAGTTGCACTTGCCGCGGTCAGTCCACGAATGAGAGAATAGAGAGTGCATCTGTATCCTCATACTCTTGGTGCACTTAACTCTGTTAAGATCATTATGGTTTTAAAATTCATGCAGCTAATCATTCATCATCATTCATCATCATCATTGCAGCCTTTCATAAGCCCACTGCTGAACATAGGCCTCCCGCAAGGAATGCCACAAAGCACAGTCCTGAGCCACCTGCATCCATCGAATTCCTGCATGTCTTACCAGGTCGTCACTCCATCTCGTGGGGGGTCGCCTTACACTTCGCCTACCGGTACGAGGCTGCCACTCAAGAACCTTTCTTCCCCATCGGTTGTCGGTTCTTCGAGCTATATGGCCGGCCCACTGCCACTTCAGCTTACTAATCCGTTGGGCTATGTCGGATACTCTGGTTCTACTGAGGATATCCTTATTTCTAAGTTTATCACGCAGAGAAACCCCGAACATAGCCCTCTCCATAGCTCGCTGAGTGACCTTGAGCTTCCTCATACGGCCAGCAGTGAAGGACCAGGTCTTAGATCCGTAAGTCATCACTGGCAACACGCACTGGTTGTACAATTTCGTTTTAAGGTTTTGAGGTATGTCAAGTTGAATCCGTCGATTGACCTCTCGGTCGAAGGTTGACTTAGCTAGTCGGACTATTTGTCCCAGGTAAACATACTCCTCAACAACTTCGAGCTTAGTGCTCCCAACAACTACCGGCATAGGTGTGACATGGACATTAAACATAATCTTTGTTTTGTCCATGTTCATCTTAAGACCTATCCGTTGGGAGACACTATTGAGGTCATTGAGCATAGTGCTTAGGTCCTCCAGCGATTCTGCCATAAGGACTATATCGTCGGCAAATCGAAGGTGAGTGATGTACTCGCCATTGATGTTGATACCGTATCCTTTCCAGTCCAGAAGCTTGAAAACGTCTTCCGATGCAGCGGTGAAGAGTTTCGGGGATATGACGTCACCCTGTCTTACACCTCTCTGCAATTGGATAGGTTTCGTACTCTGGTTCTGTAATACCGTTTGGTGATTCTGAGTATAAGGTCCCTCGTCGACACACTCCCGATCTTTACAACGTTGTTAACGAGAGACTTGTGGACGATAAATCCGACACATCATTGGGACAGATGGTCGCTCTCCCGGTGCTGCAGATGCAGGAGCTGCTGACGGGCCGGCCTCTGTGGTCGGCAACTGGCCCGCCGATGTCTGTGACGTTACACCACCAAATCGTCTCAGGTCCGTCTCCTGTTGGCGTTGACTTCGGGTATGGATACCCTCCGTGTCGTCTTTAGGTAAAACCGGCATATTTGATCCCACTTCTGACACCAATTGTTACGAGCTTGGGGTTCGAGACAATTAAAAACTGCCGATTGAATTACCAAAATTGACACTTTAATTACAGAACACTAATTACAATTTAAAACCACACTAATAAAACACCATTGTACTACTGATCACTTTAATTCGCAGTTATTTCGCATAGAAGTATTCGCTTGTATCGCCAATTCAATACTGACTCGGTCGAGGTCTATACCGGCCTTATATAGGGCCTCAGATAGTTTCCAGAACCTTCTACTGTAGCGATACTTAGAATGTTCGAGTACATATCGGTCCCGAAATTTCTAGAAGGATCTTGACTCTCCTAGTTCTGCTACTCGACACTAGAGGGCGCTAGTGGGAACTAGTTTTGCCATATACAAGACATTAATAGTGGCGCGCAACAGTAGTATAATTGTAGCACATTTGGGTCGACTCGACCGGGGAAGGACCACGCTCTCACAGAATACCAACGTAAAGTAGCAGCTTTACGCTGCTGTGTTTCGTATGGTGAGTGTAGGGAACTGGAGACCCTTTTTACCGAGGTATTCCATCTTAGCCCTCACGGGTGACAATGCATCTGCATTTTGATTTTTAATAGAGGATAGATGTAGATGTCTATGGGCCACAGCAACCACTTACCATCAGGTGGACTGTGTGCTCATTTGTCACCCTTATCCTAAAAAAAAACTTAACTATTTTTTTAAATCTATTTACCGCTTCTTTAACAATCATTTTTCAAAGTTCTTGTAAGTAAAATGTACATCACTAGAAAGTGTCCCTAAAAACGCGTCCAATAAGGGTGGCGCTGCAGTAGCATAGGATAAATTTTAAAAAAGCGCCAAAATTAATTAGAATAAGATGGAGAAATAAACAAGGACCGACCAATCCGCTTGGTTTTGTACTACGTAAATAGTTGAGGTTTTGTATACTGGCATTTTACTAACTACTCATGAAATTATTTAAATATTTGAATTCAGCTGACTTCACTCCGTCTACAACAGCCATATACATATCGTAGTTTTTCAGACGCCAGCGCCATTGTGGTAGATTTTGGAACCTCTATTTTCAGTATAAAGTGGGACACTTTCCGTAGTGTTTCTATATAGTTTGTGGACACTTTCGCACCTTATAAGATGGTCCTCCTTCTACTCTACACTCCATAGTGTATACGCCAGTATCGAGTATATTATAAGTCTATGGCTTTAGCTTTGGTCAAAGAGAATAGAGTTTTGGCGGGAACTTGACCGGCGGCGGTTTGTTGCTCCTGTTTTATTGTGTTATTGTTTTTGTGTATTAAGTATCTGCGCATGTGAACTATTATTGGAAACTGTGAAACAAGTTATGGAGTGTAGAGTAGAAGGAGGACCATCTCTGTATATGAAAAGTATCCCTAAAAACGCGTCCAATAAGGGTGGCGCTGCAGTAACATAGGATAAATTAAAAAAAAAGTGCCAAAATTTATTAGAATAAGATGGAGAAATAAACAAGGACCGACCAATCCGTTTGGTTTTGTACTACTTAAATAGTTGAGGTTTTGTATACTGGCATTTTACTAACTACTCTAGTCATGAAATTTTTTAAATATTTTAATTCAGCTGACTTCACTCCGTCTACAACAGCTATATTCATATCGTAGTTTTTCAGACGCCAGTGCTATTGTGGTAGGTTTTGGAACCTCTATTTTCAGTATATATTGGGACACTTTTTCAACTTTCGCACCTTATAAGATGGTTCTCCTTCTACTCTACACTCCATTAAACAAGTGCTCTGATAGTGATGTTATTCTCAAAATAAGGTGCCTGTCTGCTTAGGCGCCTTGAGATACCATCGCCAACTGTCAGCTTTCTGCTGGCTCAAGTTGCCGTCAAAATCTCCCAAGGGCTGCGCAATGTGACGCATCAACATATTGTGAAGCAGTGTACTTACGAAGGATAATTATTATACATTGTAACTTCAGGCTCAGAAGGATTGGAACCCAGAGCCGTAAAGCCAGTTATTAAAAAAAACGTACACGTATAGGAACGTCAAATTAGGGATGTCGATGTTGCAGAAACATCGATGTTGGCATCGATAGGTTAACATCGATGTTCGATGTTTATCCTACTCAACACATAGATGTTGGCCATTATCGATGTTTATTGCACCTGTATTTAATAGGTTAGAAATAGATGAATAAAAAATAATCACGTTGCTTATGGTTTATAATTAATGAAATAAAAGAAATTAATAAACAATGTAGTGTAAAACAGTAATTAAAAAAATTGGAAGAAGTTCACAAATATCTAGTTCATTTGTTATATAGTCCAATATTTTGACGATTGATTGAAGAAATATTGATTTTGACAAAGAAGAACCTTTCAATCCGTTTCTCTATTGATAAATAGTATAGCCAGCTTGTAAAAACAATTTAAAATTAAAAATTTTGTACAACCGACTACAATATAAAGTATTAAACATAACTCCAAAACTGTGAGAAGCATTAGTTTTCAAATAAAAACAAGAATCATCGAAATCGGTTCACCCAGAAAATAGTTATGAGGTAACACACATTAAAAAACAGAACTTACAGTCGAATTGAGTACCTCCTCCTTTTAGAAGTCGGTAGATAACCGCTCAGATGGCGTTAATGTAGCGATTATAATCAAATATCTCACCGCAAGTTTTTTTTTAATTTTAGATAGGTAGAACCAACAACATTGTTCTAAACGTGCATTGGATCATGCTTAAGATGAACCATCGGATTTCTAAAAAAACAACCGACAAAGAAACAGACAACCAAAAGCGGCACCACAGAATAACAAAGCGAAATCAGTGAGAACTGCGACATTATGGCGCGTCTCCACCAAAAATTTTGTTGTCAACTCAACATTTGCCAACACGTTTTGCCAACAAATGTTTCTGTCAACAAGCGTCTTCACCGAGGGAACAAATGTCGGCAACAAGCGTATTCCTTTGACGTTGCCGCCGAAAATCGAAACAAGTTTTGTTGGCAAATGTTGTGTTGACTACAAAACTTTGGTGAAGACGCGGCTTTACAGTTGACACTTGACAATTAAATTTGATACACCATAATGATATATTTTTGGGTTATCAATGCGTTCAGGAATTCTGAATTATTCAAAATTTAAAATATTTTAGAGAAGATGCAAGATTTAGTTGATATTGATTTCGCAGGGTCACAGTGTTCGCAAGTTCTCAATAATCGATTATGGGTTTATTGACATCGATATTTCGATGTTTCACACGTGGCAACATTGATGTTATAACATCGATGTTTTAATTTAAGACATCGATGAACATCGATCATCCCTACGTCAAGTTAAATTATGTCAAATTATTTGATTTGCATTTTGCATTTTGCAGATTGTGGATTTGCGCATACTTATTTGATTGATCATTATTAATAACAAATAAATGCATCGATTCTACGTATTTTTATAAAGATAAGATAACATAATTAATTTTTCATTGAAAGCAAGGTTCTGGTTCTGTTCACGAAATCATCACGTCTCACTTGAACTGTTGATAAGTGAATGTTAGTTTATTCAGAATCGCGGTGGCATAGGCTCATCTGTTCGTGAAAAAGTAGAGAAGTTTTTGTGAATTAAAGATCATTTGGAAAAGTTTTGTGCAATGTCAGTGTTAAATAACTTTTCTGTATCTATAGCGAAGGGATTACGCCGTGAGTATATTTTTTGTTTATTTTTATAAACGTTTCCGGACTTTTGAGTTTTCAAAACATATGATCGAATTGTGTCATAGAAAATATCAAAATAGTAATAAATATAATATTTAGTTTTGATTTGTACACATTTTGTCATTTTTCTATGCATTCATCACATAATATAGTTTTTTTTATACAAAAAACAAAATTATTTGATTAAACAAATTATATTGTTGACATATTCATACATCCTTGTTTACTTTACTAATCACCTGGTGTACTGGCACTAATTAGTGCCACCGTTATTATAAGAATAAAAATTATATTGCTGTCCTGCTTGGGGTTTTTGGGATATAAAAAGTTTACCATAAAATTACTCACATTAAGGGATCTTCCTCCCAATGTTTAGATTATAATGTTGCGATTTGCCTTTTGTGTATGTTCTATAACTTTATTCCAACTATTATCCCATTAATTGAAAATATATACAACTTAGGGACCTTCAAGAAAAGAGCCTACTCCTTTTTAAAAGGCCGGCAACGCATCTTCAATTCCCCTGGTTCCCCTGGTGTTGCAGTTAGTTGTTCATGGGCGGCGGTAGTCACCGTCAGGTGAGCCGCATGCTCATTTGCCCCCTCCTATTAAAAAAAACATCAAATATACAGAATAATATAATGTTCTAATAATATACTGTTATTAATGGGATTTCACTATTTATGATGTGAATCCCATTCTTTATTCATACGGACTGTACATATACCTTTTACATTACATATTGAAAATATTCTTAAGTTTTCAGTTTCAACAATATACAGTAGTGGCTTATGGTAAATAAAGTATGTATATTATTTTATTTTATATGATAATTTTCAACCACAAGTGTGACATAAAATTTAAAATAAAAGTTTAGTTTTATTGCAAATAAATGCTAACAATCCTTATTTTTAGATAAATTTTAGAGTTTAGTAAAAATTCAAAATTTTAGTGTAATAAATCAAAAGGATATTTTCTTTTAAGTAAAATTGCTTTGTAATAAAGCCATCTAGTTCATTCCATAGGTAAAGTAATTTTATTGAAAAAATTGATTGACTCTCAAGATGGTACATATAATAGACCAGATGGCCTGAAGTTATGAAATCGTGGATTGTTATGAATGAATTGGGCATGATAATTTTATTCATTAAAGTTAATTTTATTTATTTTATTAATAAATTTTATACTGTTTATTTTAACAGTTAAATTAACCATCTTTAAATCACCTCACAAGGAGGAGGCTGAGATAATAAAAAACACTGTATTTATTAAAAAACAACTAGTAACTAGCAATGCTAATATTTCCTTTAACCACTACTAGTAAGCTGAAAATGCTTGTGTTAGTAGTGGTTCATGACTTTATTCAACTTTTTATATAACCAAAATACTTAATATATAATTTTATAAACCCACAACCTTTTTGAGTTGAGTTTGCGCACCCTGTCATTAGGCTACTGTCGCTTACTACACTGTATTCTATCTCATTCTCTCGCAGGCTAAATCCTATAGATGTATATATGTCTGTCTCTTTATTGATGCTTTTCGTACAGTCGAATTTCAAATCACAGCAACTTTAAAGAAGTTTTCACTTCAAAAAAATAATGTTTGAATTTTCAAGACAAAATTTGTTACTTCAGTTGTCTTCCATTTTATCTCTTGGGTTTTAGCGGTCATAATTTTTTATCATATCAGGGTTTTTTATTTTAATTAGCAGTGATATTATAATAATACATTATATAAAAATATAGATATCACAAAAGATATTGGATGTCAAGCATTTAGTTGTATAAAGATAACATTAAGTATGTTTCTACCATAAACTATAAACAGGAACATAACTGTCACTTTTATATATATATGTGATAAATATAATATGTATAAATATTTTCATTTTGTTATTATACAATAAAATTTATCTTAGATGTAAATGTCTAATGTCAATTTTCAAGTTCATTTTGCCAGGGTAATTATTTTGTTGGCTCATAATTTCCTTTTCTTGTGCAGTCTGTGTCCTAATCAATTAATTTTTTATGTGGTTAGAGCCACTATGCAGCTATATTATGGTTGTAGTACAAATGGGTCGGCTAGACCGGAGTAGGACAACACTCTCACAGAACACACACAACATAAAATAGCAGCTTAATGCTGCTGTGTTTCATATGGTTAGTGTAGAGAACCGGAGACCCTTTTTATTGGAAACAAGGCATTCCATCTCACTCATTAGGGGTGACAATGCATCTTCTTATTTGAGTCATCTTATTCTATTAAAAAAAAAAAACTTAATGAGAATTCATTATATTCACCATAAGCCAAGATAAAAGAAAGAAAAAGAAGGATAGTCTTTCCTGATTCAACTATTTTAAATTAATATTGTATCTTATAGAAAATAAGTGCATTGTAATTACTCAGCCTTTATATGTTCCCATTCCTAGACAGATGCCTTCTTTCATGAAAGGGTTTGTGGAAAAAATACTTAGGATAATTTATTAATTACTGAGGAGATCTGCCAGACAGGGGGGGGGGGGGGGGCTAGACAAGCCGTAATCCGGTCTGTTGCACATACATAAACACTCACGCCTGTCACCCAGAGGGGTAGGCAGAGATTATGGACTTCCATTTGGCACAATCCTGACACACCTCTCTCGCTTCCTCCACATCCATATACCTACGCATACTTGCGTCGTCGGCAGCCGAGTTGCAAATGATGGTTACATTAATGAACAGGACATTAAAAGAAAAGGGAATGAAAGTGAACGCAAGTAAGACGAAAGTTATGGTTTTTGAAAGAGAAGAAAGTAAAACGATATGTGAAATAAGAATAGAAGGGGAGTTGGTAGAGCAAGTAGATGAGTTTGTATATTTGGGATGTGTGTTTAGCAGGGATGGTAGATTTGATAAGGATATAGAATGACGAGTGAATACAGGAAATAGAGTGAATGGGGCTCTACACTCTATTGTGAAAAGTCAGAATGTGTCCAAAAAGGCACGTATGGCAATTCACAATGCTGTGTTAGTACCTACTTTAATGTATGGTAGTGAAAGTTGGGTGTGGCAGAAGAAGCATGAGAGTAGAATAAATGCTGTAGAAATGCGGTCAATAAGGAGTATGTTAGGGATGAAGCTGAATGATAGAGTGAGAAATTGTTTAATAAGAGAAGAGTGTGGTTTGCAAGATGATGTTGTGACCAGGATTAAGAAAGGAATGCTTTGGTGGTTTGGCCATGTAGAAAGAATGAATGAGGAAAGAGTGACAAAGCAAATTTATGTTGCAGAGGTGAACGGCATAGTCGGAAAGGGTCGCCCTAGGCGAAAGTTTATCGACCAAATTGGCGATATATTAAAAATGGGCCAAATCAAGAGTACCTCTGTTGCACAATAAAACAATTTATTATTTCTTGCATTGACTACATACAATCTGGGGCCATCCAATCCTGATAATCCTAAAGCCACCATGCTTGTGTTATGTCAGATACCTTATCCAGGATTTTTTGGAAAAAGAGGGCGGTGCCTTTCAAATGTATGTAGTAGTTATAATATAAAGTTAACGACATGGACACAAAAAGCAAATTCCATTCTGTGCACATGTGTTGGGCACCGAGTCACAGTTGGTTGAATGACAAGTGTATGCTTTATTTTAATAATTATTTCTCCTGATTTAAACAGTAGTATACTGAACTTAAGTTTGTTTAGGAAATCTAATTGCATATAGTCGGAGAAATAATATAATTTTTATGATGAATTAAAAAAATTCGGCTTCCGCAACATTTATCCCTACCACACCTCTTTCAATTTCAACAAACAATTTCATTGATGCTGGTAGAAGTAAAATTTAGTTTCTCAAATGCAAAATTTCAAACCAAGTTCTTATCTGCTCCCATGGCTCATATAGTATTATTAACATACAATCATAGAATTATTACATAAATTCCATGCATACAATATTATAGCTGTAAGAAACAATCTCTTGTACAGGCTTTTGTACATTTTCCCGAGAACTGTGGACTGTTGTGCTATTATTATTGTTTGATATTGTATAAAGCAAAACAAGTGGAAATACAAATAACATTTTCAATGACATTGCTCTTATATCTATTTATCAGATTAAACAGTTGTGACTAATATAATACACATTGTTTATACTTTTAAATGTATGGAATTGATACAGAGGCAAAGAAATTGTTTATGTAAAAAAAAAGAAGAATTGGTTGTTAAAGAAACATTGACATGCAACATTTTAAATTATTATGTGTGCATGATTTAATAGAATGATTGAATATAACAATGGCAGTAAATGAATTATTATAAAAAAAAATGTTAAAAACTTAAGTATGTGCACCATGTAATAGCTTCTGAAGTTGATGCTAAGACATAGTCTATCAAAGAGTTAAAACCCCAATTTCAGAAGTATTATGTGAATATTATTTTATTTTGAAGGTTTTTACTTTTCGTTAAAATATTTTGATTTAAAAAAAAATAACCCTTTTAAGTAGTCTAAGGAATATTATAAGGACAAGGTAACAACTAGAACATCATCAGTTACCTTAAAATTTTCATCCTACATTTTTCCACCATTAAAGATGAAATCTTTTCTTTGAATTTATTGGAAACTAACCCTGAAATATATCATAATATGTATGTAAGGGTTCATTTAATTAAGTTTAGCCATTTAAGAGAAATCTGTGTACATAAAAAACTATGTGTCAAAAATAAAAAAAAAAAACTCGTTTTTGGAACAGGGTTAAAAATGTTGAGGTCTTATTTAAATTGTAATGTGCGTACTGGTGTCAACTTAAGGGAATCTATCATTTACTCCCATGGGCTTACTATGAATTGACTACAGGAAATATTATGTTTGATAGCTGTGCCCGCGGCGTAGCTCGCGCATATAGGTTTTACTTAAAGAATTTGACGTTTAGGTAAGAGAATATTAAACAATTTATACCACTACTGTATGAATAAGTGGTAACAAAATAAATCGTTATGCT